ATGCAACGGTGACTGTGAAAGCTCAAAGAACACTACATCCTCGATTGCTCGAAAGCAATTGCTTAGTTTTCGTGCTCAACTCTGAATAGCGAATACTCTCATAATTATGATGATCGCATGCTCTGTGTGGTCTTCTTTGTAGGCCTTCTTGAATAAGGATTTGCAGATAACTTGCGACGAGGCATTCTACAACGCTGTGGAACACTTTTATGAGATCTTCCTGAAATCCGAAAACGTTGAGCGGATGGTGAAAACCGGAGCCTTCTCAATGCATGACATACGGGAAGTCTTCATCAGCAGCATTGAACAACGGGTGAGAAAAATTAATTGAAATAAATTAAGTAACATTGTACAACTGTTCGATATTTATTATCTCAGCACTTGAGTTATCTTGGTTTATATGTTGGGATTACTGCACTTCTGCTTAGATTCTAGAATATTATATTCATGATGGGGATTGGTAACAGTAACCCGAATGAATGTAAACGTTCGCGTTCCAGGTATTTGTATGGATGAGAAAGGAAGTTTGTCGAGCACTGGATAAGTTGGTTTATTGTCCTAGGGTTTACAATTCTTGCATGAGTCCATCTTCAGAGATAAGAAGCAGCGACCAAAAGGAGGGTACTTATAGTGGGCAAAGGCCAATAAAATGTCAGAAGTCATTAAGTTGTCAAGGGGTAAGAAATAGCAATCAAAAAGGATGGGGAGGGGCAATTACAGTGGTTTACGTTTATTATTTGTCAGTGAAGTCGGGGGTCGTTAGTGGTCATGAACAGCAATTAGTGTGGTTCCTTGTCCTCACAGTAGAGGGTCCTGATAATCCTGCCTCCTCTTCCGGCCCGTTCGTCGTTGGGTCCTGTTCGCTTGCAATTCTTACGTGTGATTTGGCATGAGACTATGGAGGCCGTGGGAAGGTCTAGCTGCCTGTTGACTGAGTTGGCATCTGAGGACCTCGCATCAAGCGTCAGCCTTTTGGCTTTTGAGGTTCCTCGGCCTACGATAGTCGCTCCTTGAATATCGAAGGCGTAGCCAGTCTCCCCGATGTGGGCTGCAAGTTGCGAGTTTGGGTCTGGTTTCCTAGCCACTAGTTTGTGTTTGCGTAGGCGGGTATGCAATTTTTTCGCCCGTTTCTCCATCGTAATTACAGTCTACATCGTTGCAACGTATATTATAGACAATTGCAGAGGAAAATAAACCAATTACTACGTTGTTCCACAGGTCTTCTTCCTTATTTCTTACAGGAACCGCCCGTAATACAGATGGATCTGTACCAAAGTCCCATATTTAATTCCCAAATCTAAAGTGGGACGATATATGCGTGGTAATTTACTACGCGATTAGCCTGCCGCTGAAGTCCTTGCTGATTAACAGTCTAAATTTAGAATGTAAAAATAATGTTTTTGAGACCTATTATTAAGGCAGTGATTATTTTTAATTGGGCAATTTCCCTTCCTTAGATGTCACTTGTGCTGTCCGTCAGTTTCTACTTTGTCAAGAGGCTGCTTAGACCGCTTTTTCTGAAAAATAACGTAGGCGCAGAAAGCTGCCAGATGGAAATAAGTGTTTTCAGAAATCCAACTGGATAGCAAGCTGTGGGTTGCTGAAGCAGCTAGATTCAAAACTGTTGACGGAGGAACCTCCCTTTCTACTGGATGGTTTTATAAGGTTTAGGTAATTTTCACGCCTTACACCTGACTCCTAGACTAGGATCCTCGCAGGAACCGAAAACCGCGCGAAACAAGAGATGGCTGATTAATGATCACTCTATACGAAGTCCTTCGCTAAAGCTGATGATCCCAGTTTATCCCAGACGAAATTAGTTTGACCCGAGTTGGTATTGAGTTATTCAAAAATGTAAATTTTCCCTTGAATATTTGGTGATTAAGATTTGAACATGGGTTGCCAGCCGCTGGCTCCATCTTTCAAATATCATACGCCATGAACACTTACATTTTCCCGAATTCCATTCCTGTAGATTTTGAAATCTGTTCTGAAAGTTATATTTTTACTCTCTTCCTTCCCAGTTTTATTCTAATTTAAATTATTTCCTTAAGTTGTACTGCCCAGACTAGCCTTCTTATTTGTTTGAGAAGACTTTGCATTTCATTCTGCAATTACTGCGCTTTTTATTTGCATTCACCAGCTGGCACGTTTCAGCGAAATTGATGGACTACCCAAGCAGACAGTAATTAGTGCCTGGAAGATAAAATTTGACCAAATCTGTCGAGGTGGTGAAGGTCCCTGCCCCATTGCCAACAGACTTGGCTCTCAGCAACTGGAACTCACCAACCCAACCAGGGAACAACTCTACGAGATCTTTATGCGCATCTTATCCATAAAGAAGTACGAGCATCAAATCCTCTTCAATGCCTGCCAGGTGAATTAACCATGCATATCTGGATATTTCAACTTATATATATATATATATATATATATATATATAT